CCCCTCAAAGAGTAGCCATCCTTGAGAAATCGTGTCTCAAATTTATGATGCTTCGGCTGTTTTCACTCATTCGTTCGTCATTTTCTACTCGTTTAGTTACTTTCTGAGATCCGCCGAGTTCTCAGCTGGTGACGAAATATAAAAAGTAAGGTTCCTCGGCTAAAAGCAACTGCCATCGCAGATTCTCTAAAATGAGGCATAATCTGGAAAACATTACTCGAATTGTGTATGCTTTGGCTCTTTTCAATCATTCTTCCATCATTTCGAATTGGGACCCCTCGTACTTTTCCATAGACAAAATACATCGACCCAAATATAGACTATAGGGCAGCCATCAGAAGTCATTACTATTGCAGAACCCCAGGGCAAGCGGGGAAATTGTTTTATTATTTTATATTAACATGTGTTACGTGCCGAAATTTTTACTTTTTACATGCAATGTTAATTTCAGAAGAACATTCATTCTCCAAGGAACACATTTGTTCAATGCAGTGCTCCAACTCTATTTAAATAAGTTGGCTTCGTAATGATCACATATCATCAATAATTGGCAATACTGTTTTGAAACCTTTTTTAGTTTAGATTATTGTAATTTGAACTAGCTGTTTGCTCTGCTAGTTTATATGTGCCGGTAGCAGAGGACGGGAAATTATCGTACACGTCTATATGAAACGAATTCGCAGAATTTGACGAATTGGTTCCGGCACCACCAGAAATTTAATTTTGAGAAAGAAACTTAATGTTCTCGGCACGTTATCAATTCCTCTATTTTTTTAAAGTCAAAAAGCAAATCTCGTATTTTTGTTTTTATACTCCATTCGTTTAAACTTTGCTCTTTCTCAGACATTTGCGTGATGTGCCTCCTGAATATATTTTTCTACGTGTGTAATACACACCTTAAACACAACATAATTTTCCGTAATATAGGCGATGGATATTATTTAGTATATAAATATATAACAAGTTACCTTATGCGGAAAAATAAGCCGTACTAATACTAGCCGAAGTATTAATACATCAAACATTTTATTCAGCTGAGGGACCTACTGTTTACACATCATAATCTTAAAATGTTGGCCAAAGAATAGTAGTATATGATAGAATTGAGCAGTCGTATGGCAAGCGGTATGAAATACAAAGTTGCGGTGTCATTGACATTTTTGTATATTAAATACCGAGGCGTCAGGAGGGCGCTGCTGTAACCAGCTAAAGTATGGCGCAAGCATTATATCGCACAAATATTCGGAGATGATTAATAAAGATATTCTTCAATGCCGGAAAGAACTGATTAGTGTGTTTGAAACATGTTTTAGCTATCCCTCTATAAACATTCCATTGCACGCTTAGAATATAGGTCACCGGTAATTTTTTTTATATATATAACCTGCCACGATTTGACGCTCACGGAGGAAAGTAGTCTTCAGGGCAAGATTCAGCACCTAGACCTTCTACTACACACAGAGAAGGGCTTGTGCTGGAGGTATGGCAAGGAATCGGCAAAACCCTTGTTGGTGGCTGACAGCTGTCACTCCAAGTTAATAAGAGGGTGTGATTGTGTCTGTGGTTGATAACGCGTGGAAAAAGGCATGTGTACATTGCGTTGGAGAGGCAATAGAGTTGCAAAAGTTGCGTCTTTTGGAAGCGGGCCATCACCAGGATGTAATTGCTAGCGGTATGCTCAAGGTATTAGGAAAGTTCAGTTCGGCTCCTGTGGAAAAACCGGTTGTGAAGAATATGGTCTGTGTGCCTTACTATCATGGAACATCTCATAATTTAAAGTCAGTGGCCAAGAGGCTCGGAGTAAATTTAGTTTAACCGCTTTTTCGGGTGGTCGTCAAGGCTGCCTTAAAAAACACCAAAACCCTGAAGTAACTTGTCAGGTAGGAGTGGTATATTATATTCCGTTGCGGAGTGGGTTGTCTTATGTAGGGCAAACTGGTCGCTGCTTGAATGAAAGGTTGCTGGAACATAAAAGGGCGGTAAAAGAGGAGGCTCAGCATGCAGAAATAGCTACACATGTTGTAGACTGCAATAACTGTCAGCCGGAGGGGGGGATACCCAGGTTTTGCATAAAGAGAAAGAAAATGGTAGGAGAGTTGTGGGGGAGACTTTGTGTATTTTGGCGCGTGGCAATTGTGTAAGCACACCGTCCTTGGCTTTCGGTAGCGAACTAAAGCGCTTTTTGTGTTTCTATTTTTTTTTGTTTTTTTGTGGCGGGGAAAGGGGGGGTGTTCAGACGTTAACACAGTGTCTGTTGGAGATGCCTGTTATCGGCTTTGGCTGGTCGTTTCGGAAAAATATAACGTGTGTCGGTCAAAAAAAAATATATTTTTTTTTTGTGAGGGGAGGCGTTTTTAACGTTAGCAGGGTTTGTTGTTTGAGATGTGTGATATCATGAATTTAAAAGGAGGTCGTCTGGGTCAGTTTTTGCTTGGTATGAAAGGAAGGAAGGTAGCATGTCATTGGTTCAGTTTCAGATGTCGGTGATGGAGTGGAGAGGAGGTGTTTCTACCTTGCAGAGGAGGGTCGTGGTGTATATATAAGAGCGGAGGTATTCAAATAAACTAGAAGCTGTGTTTGAGACTTGTTGTTTTGTTCGTTTTTTTTATTTATTTTGCCGTGTCTCCGGTTTACGATGGAACCTGTTTCTCAGACATTTGCTGAGGTGCCTCTGGAATATATATTTGTACGTATGTAATACACCCTTTCAACACAAAATAATTTTCCTCAATATAGGTGAGGGATATTATTTAGTATATACATATATAACGAGTTACCTTATGTTCAAGAATAAGCCGTACTAATACTATCCGTAGTAGAAATACTTAAAAAAGTTGATTCAGCTGAGGGACCTACTGTTTACACATAATCATCTTTAAATATTTGCCAGAGAATGGTGGTATATGATAGTATGGAACAGTTGTATGGCAAGCTGTATGAAGTGTAAAGTTTCGGTGTCATTGACATTTTTGTTTATTAAATGCAGACGCCTTTAGGACGGCGCTTCCGTAACCAACTAAAACATGGCGCAAGCATTAGATCACACAAATATTTGGACATGATTAATAAAGAAGATATTCTTCAATCCCGGAAACAACCTATTAGTGTGTCTGAAATATATTTTAGCTATCTCTCTGTAAATGCTCCATTGCGCCCTTAGAATGTAGGTCACTGGTAATTTTTATAATCTGCACCCTCACACAAGTGGGAAACGCAAATAATGCCGCTGCCAATATATATTACAGTGATGATACACCAGGCTAAAAATACCAAATGACAGAAGGTTGGACCTTTTCGTAGCTCGAATGACCCACACAAAGGAGCTACTGCGAATACTAAATATGCATTTCCCTATTAAGTAGAAGGAGATTGCTGTCACCTGAAGTCGGATATTAGAATGGTCTATAGTGAACATAATGCGCGCTTTTATCTACTAAGTCCTGAAACTGCGGCGCGAATAGTACTAGACATGCCCTTTTCTTGCTGAGTTAAAGAAATGGGATATTTGGAGTGGGACAAGTTGAAGAATGACTAAAACCTAAATATCGTTGTACAGTCAGTGTCTCTTGAAAGCCACCCTACTCCTTTTATTCTTTTGTTGAGTCGCAAGAGATCTCCTCTGCGTTTTCTTTAATAATATGTATAACTCTCACCCTAACTTTAAGACTCTTTAACCTATGCGTGTTTTCTCCCGTATTGACCATGAATTCAAAGTCGCAATTTGTTATGGTTGTATGACTGCCCAGATTGACCCTTTAATTCAGAGAACGTCATCACAATGGAGCCACCTTGACGCATATTAAGTGTCAAAATCATCAGTCGATTCATTTATCATTGCAATAACCAAAAATATTGGTTAATCCTTGACCACGGATGTTTTACCGTATTTTTATATTATATATGTTAATATATTGTATTTTTTTATCGTCTCACTTCTCTGTAGCTCTTCCAGCTCTAAGTGTGCTGAAATAAATAAAATAAGTAAAACGGCAAATATTATCGCAAATTCCTACTGCCTTCCTCTTATATTTAGATGCCGCAGACTTCGGCGGAATGCGGTGTAATTCGCTGCTTGCGAGAGCTGTGTTAGGCAGTTTTTTTTTAGTCATTCAATCTTGCTCGCATTCGCATTTCTATTTACAATGTTGGATACGTCTCAATTACAATTTAATGATTTATACTTTGACAGCTGCGTCCCTGGCACCAAGAAAGTAAGTACGTTAGCTAGTGTTTAGCCTCAGTGCTTGACAACAAGTGCAGCACCCTATGCGCCAGGTTTTCCTCCCTGCAGACCAACTTCAATTAAAATGGTTAACTGACTTACAGACTCCTAATGGTCCTAGGGATCGCATCGCCTAGGACCCTGCGCTTTGCATAAAATTTCCCCCCTCACCATATATTAAATCCGCCGTATTTAGAGGTTTAACAATATTCATTTTATACCAAATTGACAGTATATTAAAATCTCCAAATGGCTAAAATTCAATAAATAGAACATTTAATGAGCGATCGTTTAAAAGTGTTTGAAGACATTAAACAGTAAATTCTAGGATTGAGCAGTCAAGAACATAGTGTTTAATATTTACACCGCTATCTGTAGCGAGTAATTGACATCGCGTCACAATATGTCAGATAAAGTGATGTCATGCAATCACGTGGCGTCCCCACTTAACACCGTAACGTCACGTTACCTGGTGTAAATCTCTGCCCTTAGTTTGGCGGGGAAATTGGCGTCAGGTATTCTCACGTCACGTGACCGGACGTCACGGTGTCAAGTCGATGTGTCCAGTCACACTATGCCTGTCACCTGACAATAATTTCCGTGCTAGATTCACCGGGGTAGTGCACGGTCTGAAGGACAAAGCAACTGAAGGAAGGACACGTTTTACTGATTAAAAGGCTCAGTTAAAAAGAAGTCTCTCTTTTAAAAGAAAAAACCACCTTTAATAGGTTTTTCGATCTAAACTGACAATAGACCAAATAAAGAATCGTGTACTCACCCGCCTATGCGAGAGCGTAGCTGCAGGACGGAGGAAATCCTCGATGGACGTGTCATTGACAATCCGAATATCCACGTTGCAGTACTGGCCGCGAATGTCTTCCCTGCCAAACTGGTCATAGATGACAGTTTCGATACACTCGTCAAAGGCGCCTAGATCAGCCATTGTACCCTGCAGCAGCCCGTTTGGAAACTTCGCTGATGCGTCAAGAACTGGAAAGAGGTCAAATGATTGTCATAGTCAAGTTTGCTTCTACCCGAGAGAGGTCAGGAAAATAGCTTTTTCCGCAAATATTAATGCTTTGATGTTGACGACATTGTGGAAACTACACCAAAACATAATTTGTTTTATTAAAATAGACACGAAAGCTTTAGTAAAAACGATTCAGACTACTACCGAATTGCACCTGGTGAATGCTCTCATAGCTTGTTTTCCATAGATGTTCAGTTTAGCCGTAGATGCGGCCTAGGCCACTCCAGTCAAAGCGGAGCCCCCCTCCCCCCTGCCACCCTCTTGTCTAATTTAAATCCAATTAATAAATGTCTCTAACTAAACAGTGATTAACAAATTTTACCAGCAAGTTTTTATTAATAATCACGATTCTCCCTCTATATTTTTTTTTTAAAGTCTTCATATAACTAACCTGCCCAACCAACACTAGTGTAGCTTTCGTGTATTTGTCCTAAAAAAATTTACATTAGCATTAGCATTTACATTTTTCCTAGAAAAATGTAAATGCTAACGCGAAAGACCCTGCGCTTAGAGACATCTTGAAGTTGCAATTGATTTTATATTGTTCGTGGAAATCGTAGAATTATAAATGTAACAAATGTTGAAATCGATTGAGAGGTATACTTTTTTGCATTGTATTTCCCACATAAAAACATAAAATATAGTCCTTGTAATTGGTGCTTCATTTGGATTACATTTAGCATTGTGACGAAGCGTTCAGCAGTGACCACTCTCACGACTGTAATCGGGTGTATATAAAGTTCGCGGTTAAGGCATAATGCGGTTGTTCGAAGGAAGGTTGAGTAGAAGAACTATTCTCTTAAAAGGACATAGCCGATGGGATAATACAGTGAAGCGGCTTTTTCAGTTCACTACACTATACGAACGTACTCCAATTAGACAAGTTCTTCAGAATACTTCTATTCGTTACAGAACATTCACACCAACTGAGGTTAAAAATGTAAGTGCGTACTGTAAGCGTAAATGTGCCTTTTTTTTCAGCAACAAGTTTTTCTACTGAAAACTGAAACCTGAGATATGATTTATGTGCTAATTATATCAGAACTTACTGGAACTATATAAGACGCATATAAGGTCTGATACCGTCCCACATTTACACGTCTGCGTACTGAACGAATTCATTTTCCACTAGGACATCAATCCGTTCCGCTCTCTACTCCTTCTCCCCCCACACAAACTATATATACTCAAAGTGTAAAACGTCAAAAACCGGGTACCGCGGTTAAAGAAAATGTGTTGTGTGACATGTAATCAAGAGAAATCAGAAATTATAACCAATCGTACCCGCACTTGCTGCTCACGTGAATGGAAGCAGGCATCGAGATCCGCTGCTGCCGAAAGGACCCTCACCTAGCGCAAAACAAATACTGGTAACGACTTACATCTTAGAACCCAGGGTTCGGACGTTTTTAGAGCCCGCACGAATCGGAGGAGTCCCAGGCTGCAGGAGGAGGACACCTCCGCCCGAAGCACACGCCGCGCCGCGGGCGACGACGGGTTCCCAATCGCCTCGCTCAGGAGACTGGTCATCAGGGTGAACATGGTCAGGCCCGATTCATTCTCGCTCTTGCTTCCGCCGGCGTCCTGGGCCTCGCACCTCGCTGTCCAGCAAACAAGGGTGGAAACCCATACTCCCGAGGTGAGCCAGAGCAACGACAACGGCTTCATCTCGAGTTGCCCGTTGTTCGTTTGTCACCAAGAACGGTGGCGCGTATTTGGCACGCAAGTCAGGCGGCCGCTTTGGGTGATATCGTATAGCCTTGGCTGAGCTGACGCCGTTTATTCGTGCGAGTCCTCGGGAGCATACGAAAAGAAAGTGCGAGCTCCACTACGTTACTCGGACGTGGCTGGCGGCGAGCTACGCGCAATTTATGATGGCCTTCGTTGGGAGATTAAGAAAACAAGCCCAGGCAAAATAAACTAAAGGACAAAGATTGCGTGACACACACACATGGCTAATCTGAGGAGGGGAATGCTCCAGGCAGAAATTTCCGGCTCGTTGCCAAAATAATTGTATTAAAAAAACAAGGCAATCACATCGATTCAAGGTGAGGGTGTTGATATGTATATGACAAACATACCTGAATTTAACAGACTCTCCGATTTCCAAAGATTCAATTGGTCACTATGCCCCCCGGATGAATTCGGTTTTTTAACTCCAGAAAATAGTCTTCATCTAAAAACGAACCATTTATTCGAGGCAAAGTAAGATTTGTTAGAACGCTTATTATTTTGCGAATTGAACAAAAAACCGCTTTGTGAATTATTTCAGAGCAGAAAATGACGCGATTAGAAATAAACTGCTCACTGGAGTCCTGGCGGGACCGATTAGCGACTATTATTCATTAAAAAATCTTTTTTTAGACAACGTTAATACTTGAGTTAAGCCATTTGCACTAGAACTTACACATTTTGTAGTGCAGTTCTATGCTATAGAAGATCACAAGTTTGGGAAGCGTCTTTGCCGAGCAAAATCTAATATTTTTGGTTGCATTTCGGTTGTACGCAAATAAAATGGCTCACATATCTCGTGGGTGCAAAGCAGGTAGAATTTCGTTGGGGCGATACATTTAAAAAACAATATATCCAAAGGTAAAAGGGCAACAACAACGAAAAAGCACCCTTATCGATTTGATAAGGCACTGAAAGCGCTATCTACATTTCTCTGCTTTTTCAAACGTTTTGTTTAGTTCTTTCATGCTCTCTGTTACCGCGTGTAGACAGATACTTAAACACTTTTGTAGAGGACCTTTACCTGTGCATGATCAAACACTAGAGCACTGCTTTACGTACAAGTCAATCCTTACATGGTCGCGTCTTAAGGACGCTCTTTCCCTCTTGCCAAGAACAACATGCCTATTGTATATACTTGCGGTTATTGTAAAAAAAAAATGTGTGAGGCGTGATAAAGTGAAACCCTTTTGTGCCGAGTCACGTAGAACGGCTCGGGACTTGGAGTCCGAAAACTTTACTTAATCGCGATAAGTGTATATTAATGTACAAGCAAGGAAGCGTTAATTTTGCTCCGATATCTAGCATGTGCTTGACGCCATTGAAAACACGACAGGTGTGATTGGGAATTCGTCGCAGGGGATCAGTGAGCGGTGATTCAGTTTTTTTTGCAGCGGAAAAGTGTGAACCATTAGACTTCCATCCCAGAATGCAGTAGAAGAATGGTGACATCATGACTGGTTAAGGTGAGCGTGTTGTGATTATGAATACATTAAGTATAAAGAATAAAAACACAAGGACTTTCACAGATAACCACGCCAATTCAGCATTCCCGTCCGCACAGTGGTAATGTTTGTGCGACACGCAATTTGGTAAAGTCCTGTGTGTTTTTATTTTTCCTCTTTTAAATGGTTACACCTATGTGTCGAAAACAACAGTGGTTAATTTGCAGGTGCGAACGCATAGGGAATGAAGTGAGGAAATGATAAAACTTCCGAGACCTTGATAGCCAGTCGGTAGAAGGTGGGCGATTTCCGTCAACTTGACAAGCAGTACGATGCCTGTATATATAAATACGACTACTTTTTGTTAGGAACCCTAATGTATTCTTGCTTCCTTATGTATTAGTTTGTTGAATTCTTCCCCAGCTGCAGATTTGCCTTTTAATTCCTCTTAATAAAAACAAACGTGTTTTCAGAGTAAATACAGCGGGCGACCTGATGAATATTATCTATGTTGGATTAACCTGAGACTGGGGCAGAAAATAGACAGAAAGACGATCCTTTTGTTCAAGTTTGAAGCATGATGGCAGATGCCTTAGCGTGTCGACCTTTAAGGTTCTCCACATCCTTACATTGTGTGATGATGATTGTGGCACTTGAACCATACAAAGTTCACCCCCCTGTGTTGGTGGAGATGACCTTAAGTTTGACACTATATGAAGAGGTGAGTTAAATAGACGAGTTGGCCGAGCTTGAGACGTCGTCCTGTTGATTCACTGTTTCTTCAACGTTTTTATGTTTCTCTTTTTCAGCAGTTGCAGCTCGATTCGACATGTTTAAACTGGCTTCATTTTATCATAATTTACACCCATGTTAAACACCAATTCAATTTGGTAATTACCAAATGATTTACTGAGTTAACGCCGGATTTCGAGTACAGCGAGCATTAAAGTTTACTGTGTGAACTTTGAGTCTAGAATGCAAACTTCCCGTTGGAGGCAGTGCCAAGGTGCAATATCGCGAACACGCTTGACCATATTACTGCACATTTTATAAATTGAGTTCAATAAATCTCTGTTTATTGAATTAATATGATATAAACTTTGCACTGAAATAAAGCATAGAGCCGTGCCCATGCATCTGCCAGATAATTTGATTACGCCTATTATATAACGAGGAGAGATATCAGTCCAACTATTGAAATTACATTTCTCTTGAACATACGCGGGTATATTGCAGCTATCCAAGAAGTGCCGTGACCAATAAGTTTGTTTAAATTATGTGATATAGGTAAGACTCACGCCACCTTGAGTGCTTATACCTGTGAACCTTATTTTCCGCCTTCAAAGATCGCCATCACCGTAGGATGGCGCACACCCAACCATTGGGTCCAAGCCCTACGCCGAGACAAATCGATTGGACAAGAGGTCCATTAAAACGCTGCAGCAACAATGTTGTACAATTTTTGTCTATAGTCAATATCATTTTGATTACGCCAAAACTCGACCGTGCAGGCTTTCATTACTCCAGATAATGTTGCGGAGACACGCCACATGATGACTGTGGGGAACCCTCATTAAGCGTCCCTCACCACAACGATAACGGGATTGTCGAATGGCTTGTAGATATTTTAACGTGAAACGCTCTTTGGCTAGTTGCTCTGAATATCATGAAACCACATTTCGCGAAGCCGCGTTTTGTAAAGCCGTGACCTGTAACGTCGCATGACGTCACCATGGGACATCTTCTTTCCCCCTAGATTTAGCGAGGAAAATAACACCACATGGCTTCATGTCGCGTGAACTATACACGGAATTAATTTCCCCGTGACATTTAGCAAAATATTACCTCGCGTGACATGAGCACATGACCGATAAGCAAACTCAGTTCCCCACTCTGTTTAGCGTGAAAATTGACGTTCATTCAGACATTGGGCAGGCGAAATCACTTCACATGACTGCGTGTCGCGTGACCTATACGCAAAATCACTTTCTTGCAAGATTGAACTTGAAATTGACGTTTCGTGATCTCAACAACTAATCAGTTTCCCCGCTTAATTCAGCGGGGAAAATGACGTTACGTTGCTTGCACATAATTTAGTTTACCCGCTACCCATCATTGTCCATACTTTGTGGACACAGGCCGACATGGCGGGGAAAGTCAATGGGTAAATAAGTAAGTTAGTCATAGGCGTGGAGAGCAGTGGGTGGAGTTAGTGGAGTAAAGAGGAGTGGGTGTAACCAGTGAGGTCGAGTCCATGGGGTGAAGGGGATTGGAAAGCTCTGGATGCACAGCTCGAGCAAAAAGGCATGGAGGTTACTAGCGTTTGGATTATGGGCGTGTTACGTATCCAATACAATTGCCTAGCAATTTGCCATACAAGTTTTTTTTTATATCTCCTCCGGCAAATGCTTGGTTACTCAAGGTTAATTGAAGCAACTTTGGAATTATTTGAATCAAACAGATCAGTCGCCACACGTCCTATATTATTCATACCATGGTGAAATAATCATAACTAGCGATGCCTATCTAGAACGTTTTTTTCCTTCTTTGAGTATGTGGGCACTTTCACTTAAATTCTAACTTCTAGTTTGCGTTTGTTATGAAAGGCAGGTTTCGAAAATTAAATTTCGAATCAACCACAGAATACGGCGGACGATTTACCACCTATTTCTAATGCTAGAGTTATCAATCTTGCAGGAGTACTGGAGTACTGCCGAAGACATGTTTTTTATGTACCTAAATTCGATTCCATAAAGCATGTTTTGAAAAATATTCCCTCTTGTATTAACTTAATGAAAGAAAGCCAATATTTTCTATGAAATTTACCCCGAATTGATTATCCTGCTGTCAAGTATTTGCACAACATGAACAATGTGTAATTTACTAATAACAACAATTGTACTATTTTTGTAGTGGCATACTTAAAAAAAAAAAATATATATATATATGTATATATATATATATAAACTTTGCATTTCATTTATTTTGTTTTAGTTTCCTGTTTCACGCGCGCTTCATGCCCTTTATATCGTCCTACAAACCACTCCTAAGCTGTAACTTATACCTTGGAAGTGCAGAGCTTTTTCGTTCACTGTCAAGGAACTACAAAAAATAAAACTACATGAAACGCACGAATAGCACATTGCACACACAGTTCAACAGCAGCAGCTATGTGAGGTTTAATGCACCGGACGGCTCAGCGACGACGGCTAGAAGGAGAAAACAGGAAGGGTCAAGGAGGGAAGGAGAAAGCGAACGTGAGAAGCATTCAAAAGCGTGACGGCCTTGAGGCTACCAATCCTGGCTGGATGCACGAGAGGTGCATCGCGGAGAGAAAGGGGCGACGTTTTTTTTTTTTTTTCCAAACGTTCATTGCAAAAGCCTCGAGACTCTGCCAGTCCGATCTCGTACGGGAGAGCCGCTCACGTTCGCGGTCTTCTAATCCAGGTCTTGGGATTCGCATGTTTCCTGGTGAGAGACAATCGCGGTGCC